ATAAACCTCAACAAAATGGGATTCTATCCTTATATTTACATTCAGAGCGATATTGATTTTTGTTCGGATAATTTCTAAAATATCGGTCCTGTGCAAGTCTAACACCATGAAAGGTATCAAAACTTATGACGTCATCACTCACTGTGAGACGACGTCCTGGTAAGATGAATAAGCAAATTAAGATGTAAATTATTGTTTTAATTCAATTGAATACTTCTGACAAAAAAAACCAATTTGAAAACAATCTATGAATGGAACTACTTCCCGCGCTCATTGGAATAACAGAGTAATCAGGTTGCTAATATGCTGATGTATTCATACGCCAACTAAAAAGTTCATTGAAAAATAACATTTAAAGTGTTAAGTAGGTATATTGAGTCCAAGTTCAGTAGAAATAAAATGTATACATGTAATCATGTGTATGTACTCATGTATACATATATATATATAATATTCTGCTCGATAAGATTGCTGTGGAGTAGAAGACTTTTTATAAACGGAACTTCCCGCACGTGGCCAGAACACATACGTTGCAGCTTTCATATATTTGTCAGGAATCCAATATATTTGTTTTATATTTGGTAATTTTATGTAGATTTTTACCATGTGTTTGTATTATGATTGGTATTTTTATTTTGTATTGAGTATCCTTAATCAAAGCATAACTTTTGACCCTGCACCCATCCCTTGTTTTTTTTAAAAAGGTGACTTTCCCACCTGCAGGCTAGGGTGTCAGATATAAATGTTGCTATATTAGTCACTTCTGAGTTACTTCCCTTGTTTCTATGACGTCGAAGGACAGTTATTTTACTTATTGATTTTTAGATTATGTGATTTAGTATGATTAGGGTTATACAAATCTGGTACCAACAGACATATATGGAAAAGGTATAGTAAAGGCGTTTCCTTACTCGGTGATTTTCATAAAGAAAACTATTAAAAACTAAAAGTCTGTATTTTGAGAGACTATTATTGTTTATAGAAAATAAAATTTAAAAAAACATCAGAGTTATTTCCCCTTGACAAATAGTCTCAGGTACACGACCTTAGACCCTGTTTAAATAGTCGATCTTGTTCAAATATTTTATCAAAATTGTATGTATTAATCTTTCTGATTCTTTTATTGGTAGGAGTTCGTTAATTGTTGTAGTTTTGATCTTGTTTTCATTTAGTTCTTTTCTTAATTCTTTCCTTTTTTTTTTATGTGTGTGACAGTGACATTAATTGATGGGGTATTTTAATTGCTACAAGTGCTATTATAAAGGCTTTATGCTGGATTATGTTTAGGGTTTTCAGTGCATTCAATAATGTTAAAGTATCCCATAAGACAATATAAAAGTAATGAAATGTCATTGGTCAATTTGATCAAATCATATTGTCCTTCAAAGTATTTCCAATTTAATGCAAAACACAACAACCAATGTAATCATGTTACTTTCACATCTGAAATTATTATCTGTTCATCAGAATGTGTATATTATTGATACAAGTCTCGCCACCATCTGCTGACATTATGATTCCCAAAATGTCAACTTTTTATCTTAAGTTGCAATGATAGGTTAACATTAATATTCCACATCAACATACAGTACATGTAGGTCATACCATTATAAAGGCTGTCCTTAAATGAATTGTCAATAGGACGTTAAACAAAATATAAAAAACACTACAAAGGCTATAATCTTTTTAGTAACTGTCAGCAGTTTGGCTATTTGTTTGCCAAAAAAATGATGAAGTAAGACGGAAAGTGTTATGCATTTGTATATTCATTTATATAAGGTTTATTTGAGAAGGAATCGGACAAAAAGGGTTCAAGAGCGGAGACAAATAGCAGGGTATGCATATCATTATTCAACCAATGTTTCATGTTGCAATAAATCGTAACTCACACATTATAACGTGTACTCTAGAAACGTATGAATAATCTTGTTATATAAAGATCAACATGAGGAATTTTCACATACAATTCATGCAGTACGAAATTGAACAAAAAAACATATAACTTACCTGACGATGCTAGTAATGTGAGCAATAGAAATAACATGTCGGGCTTATTATCCGTCATGTAAATACAGTATATACGGCGTTCTCCGTGAGATTCCGATGTTGTAGTTTTTCGCAAACAGACACATTAACACTGCAGAAACATATCATGTCAAATACGGGGTCCGAACTTCCTGGTCCGTATAACTCGATTACACATATATATGTGTGTACAGCTACCAATGCAATACCTGTGGGGAAGACTCAATCTGGGCCCTACATGACCTAGACTTATTTATAGAGTTTATAAATGACAAAACATCTGTTGACAGTCTAAGGGACACAACTTCCAAAATAATTTAACTTCAAAATGTGCCTTATGTATCTGTAAAGAAGCACGGAACAAGATAGAATTCCATTAGATCGATAACCTTGCCGCCAACCTCGATGTGACATCTCGGCGCAGTCTCTTTACATCCTGACATCGAGCTGATAACACGTGAGTGATTTTCCTCCGCATAGTCTTATATATTTTGGAACCTGAGAGCAGTCCCCAACTATTTCGTCTCTTGATGCCCAGTAATGATCTATATGGTTTTGGGGTGGGGATCTCAAACCGTTTCAAAGTTATGACCCTAGTTATTATGGAAAATATAAAAGAATTTGTAAATAAAGAAATTCAATTATAATATACCAGCTTCAAATAGCTAGATAATCATAGTCATTCCAGTTTAAGTGAGTGAAATTAGACTGTAGCAATATGAATAATTGCTCCTACAAACAGAGCTTAAACAAACTTAAATTGAAAACAAAAGTATTACTTAGTGTCCTTTGAAACGGATAATTTACAATTTACAAAATAACAATCAGACTGAAAGACAAACTTCGACTGATCAACTATACAAATGGGATAGAGGATGCTGAATGTAGTGAATTTTTTTTTTGGCCGCCATCTTTCCAAAAAAAGGATACTTTAGAAAATTTATGATAAAAGGTGAAACATTTCGCGAACCGATCGGCCAAGCAGTGCGAGCCGTTAAAGCAACACATGTACGGAAAGTATGAGAAAATTTGAGTGAATTGTTTCCATGCTATATGAAGGCTTCAAAAATGTTCGTCCTTATGGTCCTACAGGCTCGCTAAAACGGCAACATACACCGTGTCTGCATTGATGTTCTTTTTTTTGGCACAAACAATAGTCGAGTTACACAATACCTCTTTGTTTTCCCGCGGGGAAAAAGTAAATAAAACGAAAACGAGGCTATACATTCCGGGTTTGTAAACAAAGATGGCCGCGCCCATGGTGGTAGGTAAATCTTGTACGGCGTTCCCGGTTCCGGACTAAAACCCCGTACCAGGAATAATATGAAAAGACAAAGCCTTAAAAGAGCGTTGCTCTTGTGAATCTCTGATATTTACTGATTTGTTTAGAATGAGAAAATACTGATTTCAGAATGAGATAAGATAAGCTTTATTTAAAGTCGGCAGGTCGAGAAATGACAAGAAAACACAATCTATAATGATAATTTAAGATCACATAACAATTAGGGGAGATCGGTGCAAGTTCGTCAACTTTTTATTTAAGTCTGTTCTGTGAAATACGGCAGCACGTCTGTTTTTCAAGAATCATTTAACTTTTCCTGTCGAAAGATCGGATGTCGTTATATCGATATATAATCTCAATTTCTGTTCCATCTTGAACACCGGGTTTAATTTCAAATGTTGTTACAGTCAACGAGGTTTGACAGGTAAGGATGCCAAATAAAATTGAACAGTTTCTGCCTGCTACTAGTTATAATCGTCATGCGGTGTAAAACAGTAATACGTTGCTGCAAAAATGGCGTTAAACTCGTATTGGTGGTCTGGAAAATAAATCATTGTTGATTTCAACATAAATACAATATAAATTGTTTCTTTTATGAGTGGTCATATATAAATACATTATGTAAAGACTAAAAAAGCTACTTTAAATAATTTAAATATTTTAGTTATTTCGTTCATATTCTCAACAACTGGTTTTCAAAAGCTGATGAAATTTTAGACGATGAACAAATACATGTACACGTACTGACGTTGACCTGGCATTGGTTTAATGCCAGCTCTTTTAGAAGATATATCCCGGCATAAATATTAATAGAACCTGGTTGATGACAAAAAGGATATTCAGAAAACATCCGCATTTTTACTTTTTGTACCAGTGGGAAAAACAGAAATAAAATAAAAAGTTCTGAAGCACCGACAAAAAGATAATGCAATGGATATCAGTTCAAAATATTTCCGGTTATTTTTCATCCTTCCGGAAATAACCGATGAAGGCCAGTGGAGTATGACGTGTCTGTGACGTCATAGTATGAAAATCTCTGAACGAAGATTTATTCACGTTAGTATCAGACCGGCTGGAATAAAAGTTAAGAGTCCTAAATCGTAAAAAATAGTTTTGTGATTTTCATGATTTCGAAATCTAGAAACATTCCTGGTCCAAATTATATAAACGTATGTCAGTCAGTCAATATTTGACGATTTGACGCCACTTTAAAGAGTATGCTATATGACTTCTGACGTTGGTTACAACGTCATTATTTCCGACATTACTGTTAAGATTGATACAAACGTAACCGGTGGTCAACATGGTGTAAAGAGAAAATATAGAGCATTTAAATAGAAATAATTAAATATATTATTAAGTCATACACAAATATTGAAATGTAAAAACAAATAAGGTTCCATATGACCATGGGACAAATAACACTTTTGTACTTTTTAACTTTATAAACTCACATTTGTACAGTTTCGTTTCGGTTATAGCTGTGACAAAATATGTTTGCATCGAGTTTTGGAATGAGCGTACATGAAATTAATTGGTGCGAGTTTTGGAAGGACCGCAGGTGAAATTAAGTTGTGGGAGTTTGAAATGAGCGTACATGAAATTAAGTGGTGCGAGTTTTAGAATGACCGTACATGAAATTAGGTGGTGAGAGTTTTGACGTTGCAAGCATGGTCACTGTTTTATTTAAATTACGCCGCCACCTGGAATGTCAGTCATGCCCAGTTCAAAGAGATTTTAATGCACCCAAGAGATTATTTCTTAGAATGCAACAAAGAAAAAAATCTAGAAAATCAAAATGTCCTGGCTGTTTGAATATGCATGGCATTCTGTGTTACGGATTAATCACCATTTTTATTTCTCTTAAGCGTATATTCTTGCGACACTTTGGATAAAACTTGTACAGGAATTAAATATAAACTTTATTTATTTTACAACAATTATGAAACATGTTATTTCAGCTTATATTAATCACATTTGTTGGCATGGATATAAGCGAGCAGGGTGCCTCACTGTGGCAGGAAACCGAGTACCCAGAGAAAACCCACGTGGTCAGGCAAGTGACCCCATACCGTTTCATGTCCGATCAGGGAATCGAACCCCGGCTGCCATGGTGAAAGACAAGTCCGCTATCCACTTCATCAGCCCACCACCCAGTACAGTACAGAAATTACCTGTGTAATCAGTATTTGACTATTATAGTTCAGTTTGAAATGATGGTATGCTTAGCCTCAGCCTTTCCCATGTAAATATTTAAGGTCGATGAGGTCATCTGTGGAAAAACTTTAAAATCTTGCTGTTTCAATTTAGTGATTGTTTTTCTCAAAAAAATGTTAAACATCAATTTCAGAAAATCAAACAGGCATTTTTGTTCAGGCATAGAATATGTTATTCCTGTTTTAAATACTTTAAAAAAAAAATTGTAGATAATAAATAACAAGTTATTTTTTGTTCATTTCCCATCATTTTATCAGCCAAGGAAAATTTTAATACTCATCGCCTAACACTACACATTTTAGCCTCACTTTTTACATCCAGTAAACACTTTGACATGATGAAAAACCAATAAAACTTGTACAGCCACAGAAAGACAGTCCTTAGGCCAGTACAAATGGACTGAATAGAATAATCACTGAAATGCACTATTGAGAAGTAGATTTCAAACACAATATGTCATCATTCCTTTGTTTGGATAATATGAGATTAATTACATCTAGAAGTAGACAGGGAAGGTACTTGCAAGTATTTTCGTAGAGGTAGAAGGCATATATTGCCAACTTGGTGACAATCCTTTAGCTTCTAACCCAACTGGAAGACATTCAGGAATGACTGTCCCTCTCATTACTAGTCTCACATCAGTCTCCTCCCTGTCAAGTGCAGGCTTCACTAATTACATGTAGTGTATATATATCAACAGAAGGTATACGCATTAAATATCAGTTAATATATACCTGGTACATACAAGGTTTGGTGATCATCTACGCCACACAACATACACAAATGTACAGTTTTATTGTGAAGTAAAAAAGTTTTATAAAAAGAATGCATTCTTTACACATTCATTGGACGTAAAAACAACATTGAACAATCAGAAACGATGGAGTTCAGGAGGAAGTAACCCCATCTCAACCTATGCAACTCCCCCCACCCCGCAAGGCACACACTCAAAAAGGTATGAACAAATTTAATACATTTATTTTGTCAGAATTGGAGGTTGGGAAGCAATTCAAATGGTACATCTAAACAGTTTCAGGATATTAAAGTCCAAAATGTTTTTAAAGCAGAGACATATACTTCGAGCAACTAAATATTGTATTTATGAGGAATATATCTCCCTGCTTTAAAAAAGTATACACTGTATTGATCATTGGCAAAGCTTGCTAGGTCTTCTGAGTCACCTGCTTACCAGTTTATAGGCAACTATCTGTCTGCAAACACATTATGCAGTTGAATGGTAGGTGTTTGGGGTGTATCTTCACTGGTAAAGTAATAAATGTTATAGGCAGAATTGTAAAGTAAGGTAGCACTGCTGTAATCAACCTTTCAGCAAATCATTGCTGTACATTTGTACCCGATTCAATTGTATTACCTTCTGTATGCAATTCCTAAAAGATTCACATTCTGTCAGAATCTGTCCTGTATGTCATACTGGATCTGGGGAAGACACTGATGCCATATTCTTCTGAATGTTGTTTCTGAGTGGCATCTACTTTCTGTTAAACTGTTTGATAAACAAAACAGCATCACAACAAATGATAAACCAATCACAGAAAACATCATTGCATAATACCAGTTTGTCCATTATGATGAGAATGAAATGATAAGGTCACACACAATTAATGTGTATGCATAATAAACCATGTGAAATAAATTGGTAAAAAGGCAGGGACAAATGAGCTCTGAAAAGGAAATGATAAACAAATTGACTAGGTTGGTTGT